ACACACACACACACTATTCTCCTCAAGTTCTTTCCTGTGGGTGGACAAGGCCCTAACGCCCCTTTAAGGCAACAACATCCCGACACAGCGATTAATGGGGCACAGGTTAATTTCCCTTAAATCCCAGTGACCAGCCCCTGCCCTCAGCACTGACTCTGTGACTTTCTCCCCAATGGATGTGACTCTGGATCCAGACACGGCTCATCCCAACCTTGTTCTGTCTCAGGATAGGAAACGTGTGAGACACAAAACCAAACGACAAAATCTGCCCAATAATCCTGAGAGATTTGATCCCTGTGTCTTTGTCCTGGGCGCTGAGGGATTCACGGGCGGGAGGCATTACTGGGAGGTGGAGGTAGGAGACAAGACTAGATGGAAACTGGGGGTTTGTAAGGAGTCTGTGAGCAGGAAGAGTCCAGATCACCTGTCGCCTAAAAATGGATACTGGACTGTGTGTCTGAGGGATGGGGAATATGAGGCCCTCACCTTCCCTGTAACCACCCTCCCCATGGGCATCAGGCCCAGCCAGATGGGGGTTTTCCTGGACTATGGGGCGGGAGAGGTCTCATTTACAATGTGACTGACAGGTCCCATCTCTTCACTTTCACTGACACCTTCTTCGGGACAGTCCGCCCTTTCTTCAGTCCCTATGCCAATGCTGGGGGTAAAAACGCAGCTCCCCTGAGAATCTGCCCAGTCCCAGCTCAGGCTGGATGGGATCTTTGTCCCTGAAGGTGACACCTAAGCTGGCCACTCACACATTGCCGGAAGACCAGACGTCCCGACCCTTCTGGAACAGCGTGACCCTGCCCCCGCGGGTGTGATGGTGGAAAGGACGTCACCTTCCCCTTCTGATGGGGGGGGAGAGGAGATAGGGGTGCAGATGCGAGGGGGCGGGGTGCAGGCTGCTGAGCTGTGTAGGGTCCAGGGCAGGAAGGAGTTTGTAGAAGCAGGAAGGGAAGAACCCAGATCATAAGAGGAAGACTTGGGGGGAGGCCTAGCATTGGGCAAAAAGGTACTGGGGGTCACAGAGGGCAGCCCAGAGGTAGGCTGGAGCTCCCCAGCTCCTCTGCCTTTCCCCAGCCCTGCGCCACTCAGGTACCCTGTCTCTAGCTTCCTGCAGCCAGGCCCTTCTCTCTCTGAATGCAGAGAGAAACCATCTCCTTACTCCTGGCTCAAGCCTTTATACAGGCCAGCTTGGGCCTGATTGGGGCGTGGCCCAGCTGCAGCTGCTTCCCCCAGTCAGCCCAGGTCTTTCCTTCCACAGCCACAGCCCTCTGCAGGGCTGGCTTTAACCCTTCCCAGGCAGGAGCGGGTGACCACTCCCCTACACTGCCCCACCACAGTTTGCTTCCCCCCTTTACCCATCCTCTTGCCCGGGGGTTGCAGACTGTGATGGACGGGAATCATTCACTCCTGTCAAAATTTCTACCCATAAGTCTACCCATGTAACATCTCCATTTTAAATACTGAGAGACAGACAAAAAGAGATTTTTCTGATTTAGAAAATGCTACAATTGTAACAAGGTGTGAATACAAGAATATTTTAATTTACATTTCAACAATATTTCAGAAACATACTCTTAGAAATGGAATTAACATGTATTGTTTGAATGTTCATTGACATGTACATTCAAATTTAACTTCTCTAAATACCTTATTTTTGTTGTTGTTTTAACTGTTATTTCAAGAAATCCCAAATATTTATCGTTACAAAATAATTATAAAACTGTTAGACCAGTTTATTCAATTCTATGTACAGCACAATGTTCACGGGTTATAAACATCAAAACTACACACACATTCAGGTCTTTCAGGACTTGCACTGCACCTTTCAAAAGTAATAAATGGAAAATTGATGCCACGGAACTAACGATGCAAAATATTATTTCAATTCACTCCCACAAGAGTATAAAATAATATTCCTTGAACTTCTGCTAGACTTCATGTGATTTTTAACTCTCTAGCTACATACAATACTCCCGAGGGAATTCTGCACCCCGGCACATGCCCAGAATTCTTGTCAGATGCAGATTTCTTTTCCTGCAGAAAAACATTCTGCCGAAGAAAGAACAGGAGTACTTGTGGCACCTTAGAGACTAACAAATTTATTAGGTGCCACAAGTACTCCTGTTCTTTTTGCGGATACAGACTAACACGGCTGCTACTCTGAATTCTGCCGAAGAAGTGCTGCAGTTCTTCCTTTCGCCCACCAGAGGCCGAGGTGGCACCAACCCAGCCGGCTGCTTTCACCACCGCAGCCTCTGGTAGAGCCCGGTTAGGCGGTAGGGGGGCCACACAGGGCTGCTGAGGGGCCACAGACTGCGGTTCGAAAGGGCTAGTTGCAGGGACAGACTGGGGCGTGGGCTCGGAGCTAGTAGGATGACAGCGTTAAGCTAGGGTCTGAGTGGGTGGGGGCTCCACATGGGGATGGGGGGTAGGGTGAGTGAAGAGACACATGGGGATGGGGAGCAGGGTGCAGGGATGGGGCAGATGTGCCTGACTGAATGAGAGAGGCTCAGGGTCAGCCAGGGTCTGCATGGGGGAGGTTCCCCATCTCCCGAACAATCCCTCTCCCCCAAGAGAAACTGTTCCATGCATCTCCCACCCACACTCAACAACCCTCCAGATTCACTCCCAGGCTTCTTCCCTCTCCCTCAGCTCGTCCGTTACCCCGACTGCCCCAAGCCTTTGTATGGCTTCTCAGGGGTGCAGAAAATACGTTTCTGTACTGTAGTTTAAATGAATTAGCACTCAAAGCTCTGTACTAATATGCCGAGTAAATAATCTATTAGTCCATAAAAAATTACTGAATCTTTTTATTTGTATTGTTACAGACATACTTGTTGACAGGTATTTTGAAATAAATTACCAAATAATTGAAACCAACATGATTATATTATGTTATTTTGACAAATAAAATATGCAGAATTTTACAGAATTTTAAAATATTGTGTGCAGAATTTTTAATCTTTTGGTGCAGTATTTCCCCAGTAACACGCTGGTCATTAATATAATTCTGTCATGTATGTACAGGTGCTGTATGACAAATTATAAATGTGTGCTGAAATATGAAGATAAAATATGTTTGGCAGGCATTGTCTAAGCCCCACCCGACCTAGCCAAAGGAACGTAGTACATTGTTCTACCCGTCTGAAGGAGCGTGGGCGATCCCCTGACTGTCTCCCCCTGCCTGAGGGGAGCGCCGGCGATCCCCTGACTGTCCCTCTGTTCCTGAGGGGAGCGCGGATAATCCCACAACTATCTGCCCCTGCCTGGTGTGTTGCCGCTTTTGCCATCAAAGGGCTTTGCCAAATACTCTGGCAGAGAGCATTCAGCCTGGGAAACGTCAAAGAGCCTCCCTACACTGTGAGTAATGCCTATTGCTGCCGCAGAGAGGTTAGATCCTGGGCAAATTGGCGCCTTCATCACCTCACTGCATTCAAGCAGCTTCAGGCCTGCAACATCTCATCCCCGTACAGGGGTTCCCCCACCTTACGGAGCCCAATAGTGTGGAATAAACTGGACTTGTGAATCCAGGACAATCCACCCTAGGGGTTGTGTTACTTGCGAGCTGTACGGTGTTACTGATGTATCCACTCCAAGTCCCTCTTTCCCTTCCCTTTATAGGCTTCCTGTTTATTTCCCCTTGTAAATAAAGTGTACATTGATTGTTGGTTCATCCATTATGGAGGGGGCAGAAGAGCGTATGTGTGAGGCATCAGGCTAGTCCTAGGGGTAAGGACCAGGTCAGCTATCATTGGGGGGTAGGGTACATTCCTGACTCCCTTAAACAGTCGGGTGGGGGCACCACCAGTTAGAAGCTGAGACCCCAGGTGGTTGAAGCTCACTGTGGCTGAAGCAGAGGGGTATCAGGTGAGGGCACCTGTTGATGATTAGCTGCCCTTGGGGATACAGTGACCCATAAAACCCCCTGACATCCCTTGAAGCAGTTTGTCAGTTGTCTGGTGGCTCGCTATGTTCTGTGGTTTAGATTTACAGGGATGGGTAAACTTTTCGGCCTGAGGGCCACATCTCGGTATGGAAATTTACAGAGGGCCATAAATGCTCACGAAATAGGGGTTGGGGTGCGGGAGGGGAAGAGGGCTTCGGCTGGGGGTGCAGGCTCTGGGGTGGGGCCGGCAATGAGGAGTTGAAGATGCAGGAGGGGGCTCTGGACTGGGACAGGGGATTGAGGTGCA